ATTATATTATAGGTATAGGTAGTAAATAAGTAATATGTACCTTTTGCCTATAAATAAAAGAATAGGGCACAGTGTACAACACACACTTACAGCACAGTAATTCGACTTTGAATCATGGACTCAGGATATGAACGTTGATCTTTTAAACAAAATTACTGATTTACTAATAAATATTAATTTATAGTTTTATTCTTCATTTACTATACCGTATGATATAACGAACTTGTATTTTGGATCACCTACAATTACAGCTTATTAATAAAACATTATGTACAAAGCTCTGCTAACTTTATGTTTATATATTTGTTTTATTTTTAAATATTATAAAATATTTTAATGTTTATAAAATGTTTTCTTTAAAAATTAAATTGCTATTTTAATTTATTTAATTTACTTATTTTGAATACATTTCTACAAAAATTTCATATTTTACATATTTATTTAATAATTAAATATGTTATGTGGACTGTAAATTTATTCTTAAAATGTTTTATACCATCAATATTGTACGCTGTATTCAATTTTGAAAAGAATTGTACCTACATTATATTTCCGGATGAGGGTTACCAGTTTCAACACAATTTTCCGAAGGTCATATCATGTTCAAATGTAAGTCAGAATATCATTATATTAAATTTAAATGTTTTGAGTATAAAAAAAGAGTCATGGCATTAAAATAATATCATTTCATTTTTCTAGAAATATTTATTAACTTATTATGCATTACTTTTTCAGATTTTTTTTTTTTGATTTTTTTGTTATATAAATGAACACAAAAATTACAAAAAATAGAAAAAAGGAAAGATGAAAACGAAGATTATACGTTAGTTATGTAAACAAAGACAATCAATAAAGAAAATTTAAAAAGAAAACACTGAATTAATTTTTTTTTTTTTATTATTTAAATTATACAATATTTATATTAATATTACAATATAAGGACTAATTTAATATAATACAATATGTAGAATTATGAAATATTCTTTGATATAGCCGGTTCGCGTATTTGTTATTTCATTTTGAAACGAATATAGTGATTTGCGTATTCCGCCAAAGTATCACAAAATGTTAGATTCTTTTGAGATTTGAGTTCGTGGAATTCAAAAATCTCTCAATACATGTATGTAAATACCATTATAGCATACCATTTTTATATTGACAATAAATTACTATTATATATTTGTATTTTGTAAATTATTATTCGTCATTTTCTATGTCCAACATCTTATAATTTATGTATTCGTATACGAATATATTTAACAACGGCAGTAATGAACGTTTTACATGTAAAAGTTATCATTGTCTTCAGTCAATATTTTCGAAAGAGAAAGGTAGGTAGGTACTACAAATACGTCCTAAAGACAATGATCATTTAGAAAGCACTTAAGTGCACTTAGTGTTTTGCATATATTTACACAAATAGATTTACACTAATATAGTGTCTTAAGTCTTTGTGTTGTGTTCAGCATATTTATATGTGTATATATTGTATATTTTTAATTAAATTTTCGACTTTTGTAAATCTATACGTGAATGGTATTATATATACGTACTAACTCCCTCCATATTATTGTGATATGATAAAGCCTTTAAAATCAGCTTTAGGTTAAACAATTTATTTTTAATTATATTTTACTAATCATTATAATAAATATCTATAAAAATATATTTTATTGATGTATCCTCTCTAATATAAAAAAATAAACTTATTCAGCATATAATAAATATCATGCATTAAGTGGACTATTTTAATGTTTAAAAACTGTTTGTGGAACTTAAGTCCACAACATTAAAATTCCAAGTTTTAAAAATAACGCGTGCAGACGAAAAAATTGTCAACCAACGCTTGTTAGTAAAAAATAAAATACATAGGTATAATCTATCGATTTCCCGATGTTCCGGAAGTATAAGCTCTACACTCTTCTATGAATATTGCATTGTATAACGCAGTTTGTGTTACTTAATAAATATAATATGTAAAATCATTATAATTTGTGGGCTGAAACCAACAAGTGTAGTGCATGGTACATCAGCACAAAAAAAATGTCAACTACGCATAGTTTTTGACTATATTGTATTTACTTAAATATTCAATCGTATAATAGTATAATACATCAGCTATATTTGATATTTACCTATATGTATATATATATATATAAATATAGGTAATAATATCTAAAGGTATTTATGCGTGAACATGCCAATCGATATATAATTTTTGTATCACGATTTTTTTCCAGCTGTCCAAGTACGCGTTATGCGTATTATATACAAGCCGTTTACATTGAATATAAAATAATAATACTACATACCATTCTATCGTATATATTTCTATTAATGTTTTGACTTTAATTGCTGTCACGTACGAGTGTACGACAGTTTTGTAAAATGATTATGGGTTTTTTATAGATATTCTTCACGCTCGATGTTTAAATATGTGTTTTTATTTATATAAATATATATTTATTAAATTTTCATTAGACCTCATCTGAAATTGGCCTATCACTTTTATATACAAAATATCTAGAATCTGAATACATTACAATAATTACATAGGTTTGAATATAATATCATATACTATAAAGTATTAATATTATTGATATTATTTACAATAATAATGTTATATTGTAAATGTAGATATAATGTGGTCGGTCAATAAAACTATTATAATCGATTAATCGACTATTATACATATATATTCATAGCAATATTTTTCAAATTTCACTATGGCGATCAATTTTAATTGCTATAACTATATTTCAAGGTTTTGAGAATATTAAAATTATAGACATGGTTACTATTTATACATAAGATACGATTAAAATAATTTTATAACTTTGTTTTCAGTTTTGTTTTTATTTTTTTATTTTTAGAAAAATTATGTGTGAAATATTTGCTTTGACACTAATACAATTTCAGTACACAAATCACGAATATAAATATATTATAATAATACCTCATTTATGAAACACAAAAACATATTGTGTATCTATATCATACCATTAATTTGTATTTAAAAATGTATTTGTTATGTAATTAATTCACAACTAACAATATGAACTCGAAAAATTATTCAAATTATTTTAACACTTAAATATATATAATAATTATAGTATTATTGATTTTATTTATGTTCAATGTAAGTATATAGATACTTTTTAAATGTAATGAATTTAAAAATCTTTTAAATTACACTATTGCATAGATAAAATATATTAATATTTAATATCTAATCTTTTATTAATGTTTAAAAATAATCAAATGTTAAAATAATAAAAAAAATGTTAATGATAATAAATGCAATTGAAAAAAGAAAGTGATTAATCTAATAGCAGTAAAGTATGGAGTAAAACCTAATAATACAATATGATAAAATTGGCTTCGTAATTAAATTATGAATTACTGAATATGAAATTTGCATAAACAATTTAACGCGTTTCAATAATAATTTAATTATTTTATGTCCAATTATAGATTATTATGGTTATTTAAAAAAAATAATTCGAGTATTTATTAAATGTCGATAGATACGTATAAATGCATAAGTATTTAAAGTATAAACTCGAAATAGTTTATTATAATAATTATATATTATACAAATTGGAATGGTATTTATAATTAGGTATGTAGTGTTCAAGATCGCTTGAAATTGCTTTCTTTGAACTTTTAATGTCGTAGCTCGGAAGCTCTACGATTATAATATGATAGCATTAATAACATGTAAAAATCATATGGTCAGTAATAAATATATTTAAAATCGAACTATTATCATCATATTATTATATATTAGTTCTATGTTCTATGTGAATTTATAAATAATTCATTGGTATTAAATATGAAAATATAAAATATTATAGACGAATTGAAAAATTATTTATGAGTAGTAACATGCTTCAATTATTACCACAATTTGTTTTCTATCAAGTAATTTATTTTTCATTTTTCGTGCCCAATGGCCTCGACGGCTTGTTGTGATTTAAGACTTTTGAGAATCGTTCCAAAATATACAACATAAAGTTTGATAAAAATGTATTTGCGTCATGTAATTTACGCGCAGCATACTTGTGTAAAATCAATGTTTCGAGTGATTGATCGAAAAAAAATTTGTAATTTGTGCATTTGCAATGTGTTTTCGACAACCGATTTGAGCTCACTTAATTAGAAAATGTACACACACAGGAATACAGGATTATTATTGTCGGAATATATCAATCATACGTATATATAATACATTATATTAATATGTAGATAAGGCGGTATTATTATTTTGCTTTTCGTAAACAAAACGTATAATTTTAGAGTACACAAGTCGTACAATAACCAATAGTGTATCATATTATTATCGTTAAACAATATTATTGTTATCACTTATCACACTCGGAACGCTGCAACAGGTAAAGACGTAAGCTGTTAATACCACCATGTAGTATAATGTCCGCGGCCGACGGCATTAGCAGCGGCAGCTGCACGACGGACGAGCAGCCAGCGATTCCGGCGGCAGTGCCGATGACATTTCGCGTCGCCAGACGAGACGAGACGAAGAACCCGCGGCGGCGGTGTTTGAGACTCGCGCGCGGCGACTACGCGGGTTCTCGTTTTCGTTGGTGGGGAGGTGAGAGCGTCGTGTGGAAAGCACCGGTAGTACGCGGCGTCGCACCACTCGCACCGGCCAGTATCGTTTAGTCGCCGTTTGCGTTCGGACGTGCCGTTCCTCTCGCCGTATTCAGTTCGCGTACGCGATACCGCGCAACAAAATAAATATATAATACACAGCCGACGTGTGTTCTCCGCGAAATTTATTTTACGCACCGTTTCAATTGCAAACGCGGTAATAACAAAAAACATATCGTCACGCAATCGCGTTCGTCGTTTTTTTTTTTTTTTTTTTCTATTCTTAATAGCATTATGTACGTTTTGTCGTCGCCGTCGGTCGTCGTCTGACGGAGCATTCGACGCGCAGACCTTATAATCCTTATTAACGTGTTCGTTGTGCGTGCGTGATGACACGCGGACGTTCGCGTGACGTCTTCGCGGCGACGGTGTCGTCGATGTTGCTACTACTGCTGTCGGCGGTCGCGGAGTCGTCCGCCGACAACGTGACCGTGTTTCGGTGCTGCGGTCGCGGCGAGATGCTCGACCCGACCGACGTGCACAGGCCTTGCGTCCAGCTGCCGGCGTCCTCGCCGCAAGACTTCGTGCCGGTCATCTTCGACGTGACCAGCAACCAGTTCTTGAACCCCAACGAGCCTCCTCCCGCTTACTGGAACCTGGTCCACGAACGGCCGCCGTGCCAACCCGCCGTGTTCATGCCCGCCTCGACGCCCCAAGACCCGCCGCGGTTCGTGTCGTTTCTCAACGGCACGCTGCTGGCGCAACACTGGCCGAAGAGTCTGATGGTAGACCCGGGCCTGTACTGCCTCGACCGAGCCGGCGCGCTGTTGTGCCTGCCCGAAGAACCGAACAAGACGAAAAAGTGCTGCGGCCCTTCGGCCGTGTACAGCGAAACGAACGGCGGTTGCGAGTTCTCAATCCGGCACGACGCGTCCGATCTGCCCGAAGACATCACGTCCGGGTTCCCTCGGTGCGAGGACGACGTGTACATCCTGTCCGGCCGCATCAACGAATCGCACTGGCCCGTCAGCGGCGCGTGGCCGGCCGGCGGACAGCTGCGCACCGCCGACGGCGGTATACTCCAACCCCGCGAATACTGTCTGGAGCGCGTGGTCGAAGACACGCAGGAACCGCGCACGTGGACCGTGTTCACATGCGCGCCTCGGCACGGCGTCGACCACGTGACCAAGAGCTACCGCGAGGACATCCGCTTTACCCTGTACCCCCTGGGACTGTTACTGTCCGTGTTCTTCTTGGGCGTCACCCTGGTGGCCAGCTGCATGCTGCCCAGCACTTACCACGTGCTACACTGGAAGTGTCAAGTCAACCACGTCGGCTGTCTGCTTGTTGGTGACCTGTGCCTGGCCTTCATCCAACTGTCCGGCGACTCTTTGCGCGGACCGCTGTGCGTCTTCACAGGTAAGATCCTTAAAAATGTCGTCGCTTATAATAAATAACCACATAATATATTTAGCCTAACCTAGGCACTTTCTCCCGGAAGGCCCGAACGAAATTTTCTAATTTAACGCACGTTCCGGACGATCATTTCTACATGATATTTTACGACGATACAATACGCGTACGGCATACTGCTTTGTCGAACGATCGTATTATCATTAATATTTAGTAGGTACCTATATATTTTAAATCGTAAACGTCGGTATCTATTCTGCACCGTTTAGGTAGTTATTGGTACCAAGGTATCTGCGGTTTACTATGAAATCCATAATAACGGTATATGTTCGTAGATAACAATATCAATATCTTTTAGTCTCTGGCGTCATAATTACGCAGCACAACAGTAAATTATTAATACGCATAAATTAATGTGCTCACAATACGTACCTAATGGCTATTCATTAATGTAACTACTTATTATCCGTCCCGTAAGTGTCCATCATCCCACCTGCCCCGGATAACAATGACTCAAGATTCAAAAAAAAAAAAAAAAACTTGGCCGCATTATTTATTAGCAACGTGTCGGCGTGTGCGTTCTCTCCGTTTTGTCTTTAATAACCACCGCCACTGCACACATAAATAAATTACAACGCCAAGTAAACGCTCGTTATCGGTTACTGACGTTAATATTACATATTGTTATTAATTTATCTAGTCCGTCTGGTCCGCTAGATCTTTTCGATTGTTCGTAAATCACAACTCTTTGAAAAGCGACGAAATCGACGGAAAATTATATTACTTACGTTTTCCGTTAATTCTTCAACATCTAACGATGACGATATTTTCGGGTGTAATTTATAATTGCATTGTGTATTCATATTATAGGTAGTGATGTTGTGCGTCGCGTTCAGGACCCTCTCGTATATTATTATTATTAATGTAGTGTATGGGTGCGTATAGTCGACAAAATTAGGGGAACCGCGAGTGGCGCGGGAAAAAATATGAAAAGAAGAGAGTAAAAAAATAGTTTCCCGTTATTGTGTTATGTGCGATGGTTGCTCGTTGGCTATTGTGTACAGTGTACACTTACGCGTGTGACGACGAGACCGCTCTTTTTGCGTGTGACGGTAGTACATGTGTGTGTGTGTGTAGTACCCATATATTATTATTATTGTGTGATCAGGTAGGTACATGCCGTCGCGTATGGTAGTCGTGTCATAGTGGCTTGCATCGGGTCCAGTCACACCGGCGACGCGGCCTATAGTCTTCGTTTTTGACGTCATCAATCGCGGTTGCAGTTATTTCATCGTTTCGTTACGGGAATGCATATATTATTGATTGTTCCGGCTACAGACGATTATTACGTATTAAAAATAACACACGATCATATATATATAAATATATACATTTCGGATGTAATTTTTTACAGGGGAAAACAATATTTTGAAAGGAATGACACTCGTATCTAGTCGTGGTATGCTATAGTTGAAAAACTAACTCGTGATCAGATTTTATTTTTAATTCGTTAAAACGTAGTAAAAGCGAGATTTGAGTGCCGTGTCACTCATTGGATGGGTTAGGTTATGAAATCTTGACCTAACCTAACACAAATTATCTAAAAGGAGTATCATACTTTGGTAAGGGTCTGGGAATCTTAGGTCCTGATGACAGAAAGCGCCTGATCAGTCAACCGCCAACTCATGCCAAATTCCACAATATAAGCGTATCTATGTGTTTCAGACTTCGGTGTGATTTTCACATGTTGTTTTACTCGTCATTTTACGAATGTACAAACTACAATGAACGAGTTCAACTTTCACGTTGTTTACATACACATATTTTATAACATATATATATGCATATTTAGTTAAGTATTTTACAAAGTTTGACGAAATTAGAGTATAACATTTGTATATTTCTTATGTTCGCGTCGCGAATCCTTACAAAACACGATAATATGATATAATATGTATAGATATAGCAAGAGTAAATATGAAGCCTTGGATGAAATTTCAGAGTTCCGTTAGTTATTCGATTACGAAAAGATGAAACTGAAAATCACTAGTCGCGTTATTTGCAGACTTACCTGTCTATAAAAAAAACTAAGGACTTCGTTCATGTATATGTACGAAAAAGTTATTATTTTCAATTTTCTGTTGTCCCGAATGAATATTAAAACCGTTGCAAATTGTATCCCATCGGCCCTCATTCTGTAATATTAAACAGTTCATTAGTCTATACTCATGCATACAACATACATACATCCATTGGAGAAGATCCAGCGGTTCTGCTTTTCGTCCAGCACATCTATGTATTATGTATACATATTAATGCGTGGTTATACGGCCGACCATTTATATTATTATACATACAGGGTATCTACTATCTATATAGTTCATTGTCTATTTTTGATACACCGCGTTTACGTTCATCCCTTAGGTCGAGGTATCGAAGTTTAAATTTTTCTGTGATCTATGTTTTTAAAAATATATTTTTATTTTGGAAAACCACAATCCATTAAATTGTTGACATTTTTACTTCGTAAATAAAAATTATATTATTTTTTCATGTTTTTATCAAAAATATGAGATTTATAGAGCTAATTATTAATACAAATGTTTAAATAATATAACTATTTATTTTGATTAAAAATATTTGAATAGTTGGTATCTAATATTACGTAAATACCTTAGTGTTTTAAAGTTTCGACAGTATTTGTAAATTGAACTGGTCCGAAGTCCAAGTGTATTAGTAATAATATTTAACACGTTTGGCGAGAGGGCTTACGGCGAGACACACTCTGTATAAAGAGTATACACGCATTGTAAATATATTAATTGTCGGAGACGACAATTTGTATACAGACCATTGACAGGCCCACGTTTTCTAAAATGTATATTATATTGCGGTGTGTTTGTGTGTAAATATATAAAATTATAGTCTCATGTTTATGCTGTTACTTGCTTACAGCCAAAATTCGTTCACCATCGACGTTGCGATTGTTGTATTTCCAAAATATTTTTCAATTCTTATAAGCAGAGTAAAAATTTAAATTAGATTCATTTTTTTTCTTTATCGACGATAACAAAGAAATCAAATTTTCTAATATCGTTATTGCTCGTCAATGTAATCTAATATATTACTTATGCTGTTATATAATATTGTAATCTACCATAATTTATCACTATCAATAATGATGGGCAAACATCATCAAAATACAATTTTATGTCAATTTGATATTTTTAATTTTAATTTCGAGGACATAAAAACAATATTTTTATTATGCTATTATAGTTAGTTTAATAATATATTGTCTATATTATTTAGTATTAGGTATTTTAATCATTTAATTTACAAAATAGTCAACAAAATATGTATATAAATAAATAGTCAAGTATAGATAAATAAAACAATATAACAAAAGTCAAATTGATACGATAAATACACTGATTAAAATACTATAAGTACATAATATAATATATCACTAAGCAATAAATAAATAATTTACATTACTTTACAAATTAAAAACAATGTATTTACTCAAATTTTGGATGGTAAAAAGCCATTTGGTAAATACAATATGTATAATAAATAAACTATCTACCTACTAGCCATTAATTTTTTATCCGCTACACATTACTACCAAACTAAACTATCAATAGGAGTTTTATGAGAAAAGAATTTCTAAAAAACAAATCTTGTGCAGAAAAAAATGGATCAATGAGTTTTTTTTATTCGTCAAATTCAAAATTGTAACTCAATTAAAATACATTATTATACCAATCTATAGTTAACGCAATTTATAATTTGCAAATGCAAATTACTCGTATTCAATTCGCAGAATCAATAACGTTTATCAAAAATAATCGAATTACCCTCTGATCCTATTGATCGTTTTAATTGCTATGCTTGGCAATTGTGTTTAATATACAGTAGCAAACTTAAACGAGCATTTTAATGACCATTAATTTAAATGTTGACCTTTATACTATTGTACCTACACAACTTTTATTATACTAATTTATTATTAGTTTTCATGTAAAAGATGTACATATAACGTACATTGGTGATAACCTATAATATTTATATTTTATATACATATACATTATACAAGCATACAACTGATAGGTACAAGTAAGTATAATAATCATGTATTGAAAACTGAATGTTGGCAAATATTTAACTTAATCATTTTGAACATAAACACTAAATTGAAAATGCTAAACGTACATTAATAAAATATTTTAATTTTATTTTAGTAGTATGCTAGTATTCACAACTCCATTCATTCACGAGTAAAACGCTCACGGCAATATTGTTGCGTATACCTACTACCTATACGTATACATGTTTGGGTGTGCTCGTGTAGGTATTTTAACATAATATTGTAAACATCAAAATAGATGGAAGAGGATAATAAAATATATGACAGTCGACAATATAACAGCAGCACAGTTGGTCGAGTTATAGAAAAATTCGATTTAAAAAAAGCAAAACCCAATTAATATATCGTAATATTATTATGCGTTTTGGTCAATCGTGCTGTGGAGTAAAAGTAATATTCTCGTTCATTTTTTCCAATGCCGTTTAATACGCTATACATATAAGATAATAATATTATACGCATAATATGTTATATATAGAACAATCATGGCACGCCTGTAATAAATAATAATGTTGTTACGAGGATATCAAATACATAATAATATTGTACTACCATTAACTTGCTGCAGCTTGCAGTACGTATGCGTGCATAATATATTATTATACATGTATTATGTATAATTTAAATTACGTATGTATGGTGTAAGACTGTGTACTGCAAGAGCGTCTTAGTTCTGTAATCTTTAATAGTTAATAAAACTGTTTAAGATTATAGCACATATTCGCTCAATAAAAATATGTTATAATTACTTATAACAATAACAATAAATCAATGTGTGAATACTGCTAATCGACAGCTATCATATATTCGTGTAAAAAACTATAATTTTTACATAGGTATATACGGCGTAAATGTA